GTCTTATTACTGATAAAATTACAAAAAATTTATAAATCGAACTAAATGTTGACTTGTACTACTGATTTTCATATTTAGTCATTATGTCTGACTAAAACCGATTTTTACTACTGATAAAATTATAAAAAGTTATGAAATATGATTAAATATTGAATAGTACTACTTATTATCTTTTTTATAATGTCTGACTAAAACCGAGTTTTACTACTGATTTTCAAATTTAGTTATTATGTCTGACTAAAACCGAGTTTTACTACTTATTTTCTCATTTAGTCATTATGTCTGACTAGAATTGAGTTTTACTACTTATAAAATTAAAAAAATTAAAAAATCGAATTAAATATTGATTTGTACTACTGATTTTTTTGTTTAGTCATTCTGTCTAACTAAACCCCAGTCTTACTACTAAAAAAAATACAAAAAATTCAAAAATCGAACTAAATATTGACTTGTACTACTGATTTTCTTATTTAGTCATTATGTCTGACTAAAACCGATTTTTACTACTGATAAAATTATAAAAAGTTATGAAATATGATTAAATATTAAATAGTACTACTCATTATCTACTTTTTTAAATGTCTGACTAAAACCAAGTTTTACTACTGAGAAAATTACAATAACGTATTGAGTTGAAATAAATATTGACTAGTACTACTTAAAATTTTTTTATAAAGTTATAAATTCTAACTAAATATTGACTTGTACTACTGATTTTCTTATTTAGTCAATATGTCTGACTGAAACCGATTTTTGCTACTGATAAAGTTATAAAAAGTTATGAAATATTATTAAATATTAAATAGTACTACTTATTGTCTATTTTTTTAAATGTCTGACTAAAACCAAGTTTTACTACTGAGAAAATTACAAAAACATATTGAGTGGAAATATTGACCTGAACTACTGATTTTAAATTTTAATTATTTACGTCTGACTGATTATTTACTTGTACTACTTATTTTACAATTAATTATTATGTCTGACTTAGAACGAGTTTTACTACTGATTTTCTAATTTAGTCATTATGTCTGACTAAAACCGAGTTTTACTACTTATTTTCTAATTTAGTCATTATGTCTGACTAGAATTGAGTTTTTCTACTTATAAAATTAAAAAAATTAAAAAATCGAACTAAATATTGATCTGTACTACTGATTTTCATATTTAGTAATTATGTCTGACTTTAAATGTGTTCTACTACTAAGAAAATTGCAAAAAAAAAATTTTTTTTTACATTTAAAATTAAAGTAAATATTGATTTCTACTACTGATTTTTTTTATTTAGTCATTATGTCTGACTAAAACCGATTTTCATTACTGAGAAGATTACAAAAACATATAAAATCAAAATAAATATTGACTAGTACTACTTAAAATTTTTTTTATAAAGTTATAAATTCTAACTAAATATTGACATGTAGGAATTGATTTTCTAATTTATTTATTATGTCTGACTAAAATCCAGTTTTACTACTGATTCACTGAAACCTAGTCTTTTACTACTAATAAAATTACAAAAATTTAGAAATAACTAAATATTTACTTGTTCCACTGTTTTTTTCTAATTTAGCTATTATTTGAAGGAAAAACAATTTTATTTTATTTACTATTCTATACTTTTCATTCTATTTAATAAATTTTATATACTAATAAAATTAAAAAAAAAAGATTATCAATTCTGACTAAATATTTACTTTTACTACTGATAAAATTAAGAAAATGTCTAATATTTTGTTTAACCAAAGAGAAAAAAAATTAGACATAATATTTTTTTCAAAACTATTTATTTATTAATTTTTTTTTTTTGTTTTTTTTGTTTAGAAGTAACTCAATATTTTATTTAAGCGTGGGATAAATCGTGATTTTAACTGACGAAACTGTTTTATGTTACCTAACACAGCTTTTAAGTGAAACTTTTCGATAAATTGAAACTCTCAATGAAGGTCTTCAATTAAAAACAGAATAAACTATCTACAGTTTATCATGAAAATTCCTTGGCTGAAACATCTAAAACATATATTTTTTTTTTGTTTGTTAAATTATTCAACATTTTATATTAAAAATTTATACATATATATACTTTTTCCATATTTCTATATTTTTTAAATTTATGTATTTTATATTTTTTTGTCTTTGAAGGAAAAAATTAAAATTTTTCAATTTTATTTTTAATTTCATTTTATTAATAATATTAATAATACATGACATACATATAAAGTAATTTTTATCAAATAATTATTCTTTTCAGTCAATTAAATTTTCTTTGTTCTAATTAAAAAAAAATTAATTGATTCAAATAAATTAAATTAATAATTAATAATTATAATATAAATTATTTCCTTTCAGCAATTATTTGATTCAAGTAAATATTTATTTGACAATTAGTCAAGTAATTCTTTTATTTGAATCAAATAATTTTTTTTCTGAAAATTATTTCAGTTTTTTTAATAAATTTTATTATAAATTTATTTATTTGTTAATAAAGTAATGATATTTGAATTGAATAAATTATTTTTTCATAGTTATTTATATGAGTCTCACTTATTTTTTTATACAAACGTTATATTTAAGAGACTATTTCTTTTGAAATTGTAAAACAAATAGTAAAATGTAATATTTTGTTATAAAAGTTTTATAAATTATTAACATTTTTATTATGACATGAAAAAAAAATTTCTTTTTGAAATAAACAATATGATGATGACTGTCATTTGCATGTTATTCAAGGAAAATTTACATTTATCTAATTGTGGAAAATTTTGTATTATATACAGTGTAATTTGAAGATAGTCCAAAACTATATTGTTCGCCTTTCTATTATTTGAGAGTTGATAGGTCATTTCGAAGAGAGAGAGAGAGAGAGAGAGAAAATCCCAAGAATCTACGATATTATCTAATACACCTACACGCTTTCGTATTTACTCCAGAGATTTTCTGTTTTTAGCCTTCAGGGAATTTAGTTCTATAATGTTTTTAAATTTAGAAATCTAAAATAAACGATCTAATATGAACAATTTTTAATTTTTTTCAAAACCTCTTTTTTTATTTTTTTTTTTTTTTAATCGAATAATATTATGATCCATAAAAGTATGACATATTTCACGAAACGATGAGCTGAATATATATTTTTACAACATTTTTAGAGTTTTATTTACATCTTTCATTTTTTCAAGTGTAGATATAAAACATATTTTCTGTTGAGATATTTCCATTGATCGTCTCTATGAAGTATTTTATTAATAAGAGTGCTGTTTCTTACAATTGAAATTTTTTCCTAAAAAGAACTGAAAAAAATTTATTTAATTTAAATATTATTTTATTATCAAAATAAATTATCAAATTGATGAGGTACTTTATAAATATTTATTTAATTTATTATTTGAGCCAATAAAATGTTATTTGTTTCCAAATACACAAAAATTAGTTATTTGGTTTCAAAAATTATTTTTCTATTTTATTTTCTATTTAATAAAACCTAAAATAATAAAATTAAAGAGTTAATAAAGTTAAAAAAAAAGATGAAAATTATATAATAGTAATAAATTATACTTTGATTAAAGGTATTATATTACAAGAATAATAAAATGGAAATGAAATTACGTGAAGAAAGTTGGAGGAGATCTTTAATATTGTCAGGAATTCTGACATATTAGACGAAGATCATATTTTATGCAAAGATCATACACTCTGGGGTTTATCTCTTAATTTGGATATCAGTATTCATTACATTAGGTACATGATTAAAGTTTATTTATAAAAATTCTTTGAAAATTTTTTTTTCTAGAGACAATCAACCAAATTTGTTTGAAATTCATATTTCACTTAATTTGACATGAAAAAAGAAGAAAAAAAAAAATTGCTGACACGTGGTTAATAAGTAACAAATTTCGATCAGTTCCCTTATTGTAGAATTACATGGTTATTATTATGATTTTCAAAGCTTGTCACGTATTCTTGCGATTAACTCTAATTCTCAGGGACGTTAACTGCTAACGATTCTCCACAACGATAGGGTTAAACCTCGTTAAATCTTATACACTATCTGAAAATCGTTATATATATATATATATATATATTTGTAATTTACTGGAAGTACATCAAAAAAGGGTTCTTTTTAATCTAATCGATTTGATCGGAAGTTCTTTTTTCAAAAACACATTTTATTTGATTCAATATACTTAATATTAAATAAAAATAAAATAAAAATAAATTTGATTATAAAAGGGTATAAAAAATTGTAAATTAAATTTTTTTTTACTATTCATTATTTTCTTTTTTATTTTTATTTTTATTTATAATAATTATGAAAAATAATTATATTTTTCAATATCGAAAGAATCGTCAAATTTTAATTGTTTTTATTTTTATAATAATAATAATAATAATAGAGAATTTATGTTTTTGATTTTTTTTGAAATAAAACAATTCCATTTGAAAGCCTAGGATTTGTCTGACCATGTACAAAGTTATACTACTACAAGTGTATAGAATAGCTTCCATTTCAGATGCTAAAGTTCTAACTCGAAATTCTCTGCAATATATAATGGGAGTATATAATAACTTTATGTTTAGAATTATAATAGAATGTACATATATATAAAGTTTTCTCACTGTTTTTCTATGGAAAACGTTTTAATAAATTGTATAATAATTGTTGTGCTAAATACAATTTTTTTTTTTAAATTTAAAACAAATAAAAAGTTATTCTCAGACAAATTATATTTTTATTTGCTTCAATTTTTTTTTTCAATACGCCAATAAAATATATTTTTCCCACTGTATTAGATTATTTGATTTTTATTATCTAATTATTTTTTTCTTTTAAATATAAATAAAATTTATTTTAAAATTAAAAATTTATTTATTTTAAAATTAAAAATTAAAAATTTATTTATTTTAAAATTAAAAATTAAAAATTTATTTCTTTTAAATAAAAATAAAATTAAAATATAATAAAAATTAAAAATTAAAAATTAATAGTTTAAAATTTTTCTTACCACGTTCATTTTTGCATTCCTCATGCGATTTCAGTTTCATTAATTAATATTCACCAACTTAGAAAATATAAACTCGTAAGATGCTTGCATTATTAAATTAAAAAAAAATTCCTTTTTTTTGATAATAAAATTTTTTTTTTTTGCAATAATCTGTCATTAAATCTATATTTTTTCACTGTCAATTTTCAATTGGCAATTATTAAAAAAATGATTAAATAAAAATATTCTTAAATTAGATAAGGAATTTTTTTTTTTTTTTTATATATATAATCACTAATCAGAAAATTTGGAAATTAAATTTTTTTTTTGCCAAAAAAAATCAAAGACCTTGAGTTTTGAACACGACGGAACGAGAGCGCACCGTACACTGAAATAACAGACTCTTGAGTATGTAATACACCGAAATTTATTTAAGCGCAGACGCGTTGCTTAAATCAACCCTCTTATTCGAAGGGTCGTAAAAAATTTCATTGAGAAAAAAAGGGTACTTTATTTTATTCCAAGAATCTTCTTGTTTACAAGTATAAATTAATCAATTTAATTCCTTGAGAAAATCCTAGATTTTTTTTTTTTTTTTCATTTGAATAATGAGATATAAGCATTTATTTAATTTTATTAATTTCATATAATCAAAATAATATTTTTTTTTCAAAATTAATTTTTGATTATTTGTTTTTATGTATTTATGAATTTGCAAAAATTTTTTTTTTATTCATTTAAAGTAAAAATTATGCATATGTATAGTCGAAGCGAAATATCTTTTTATAGGGATAAAACTAATGTTCTGAAAAAGATTTATACTTTTTTAAATCGTTGTATAGGAAATACACGCACGCAAATAATACAAGCGTATTTTATTGTAAAATATGAGTGGCTTATTGTATTTATATATTAAGCTGGAGAATAATATCCATTTTTTTTTTTATAATCGCTTCATGAGAAAAAATATCGATATCAAATGTCACATGAAAAAGCTCCTTTTTTTTAGAATTTTAGACAATCTTTACTTTTAAGCAGTATAAATATTGAAAGAAAAAAAGTATTTATAAAAAAAAAATTCATCTATTTGAAAATAATTCAAAAATTTACTCATTAGTAATTTTTTTTTCTACGATAAATAAAAAATTGTAACAATATCGATATTTAAGTTTATAAAATAAAGAAATATAAAAAATGTTCCTAGGGTCAGGCAGGATTTTGTTCTTCATATAATATAGATTTTCTTCGTTTAATGTTAGTCATAAATTTTGTAATATAAACCCTACGTAAGCTTTCTTTGTAAAATAATTTATAAAAAAAAAAAAAAAAAACTTAATAATAAAGTTGTTTCACAAGTCTCTGTAACATAAGTTAATTTATTGAATGTAGAACAGAAACAAATAAAATTTTGTGTTCAATCCCTTTTTTTTTTTTTTTTTTATCACACCCAGATAAATATACTTTATTTGCATTTATTTGAGACAAATTTAAATCAAATAAAAATATATTTGTTTCAATAAAAATTGATTTGAAACAAATAAATAATTATTTTGCTCTGAGACAATTTAATTCTAATTATTTCGAAATTTAAAAACGGAATTTTATTTTTTAAAAATAAATAATTTTTTTTATACGTGAGGTCAAAAGAAAAGAATGGACTTACATCAGATATGTTCTTTGGACTATTATCCCTTGTGAATCCTGCGTCAGGAAATGTTCTATACTATAAATACTGTCCTTAGGGGATTTAACAACACACGAGGATCTGAATTTTATCGAATCGAACTTCTAAAATCTCGAACAATGCTTCTTTTATAAAGATAAAAACAAATCTTCCATATTTTCTTTATTTAACAAAAAAAGAAGTTTTATCATTCTTCAAAATAATATTTTCAGATAAATATTAAATTTTTTTTCTTAATAAAAAATAATTTATTTAATTATACAAACAAATATATTCATTTAATTAAAAATAAATGTTAAATAAATTCCTGTTTTTACTAATTAATTTTTTTTTATTAATCTTTAGTTTATTTTTTATTCTTTAGTTAATTAATATTTATTTGATAATAGTCAATTTAAATTATATTTGCATGAAATAAATTTTTTTCAGTGATATTTTATTTGAGTTTATTTATTTTTTTAATTTTTTTTGTAACGCATTTTTTTTTTTTTACATTAATTTATTTCTATTATTGTATTATATATACCTACAATTTTTTCATTTCGTCCAGAGAAAATTGGACTACTTTTCGCGCATACTTTCGTGAAATGATAAAATCAGAGAACAACAACAAACAAGGAAAAAAAAAAATACTCTTGATAACTCTTCAAAAAGCACAAGTAGGATATAACATTGTAATTGCTTGTCAGGATAAAACATTCCATTATCTAGAATTCTATTAAAACAGTCTCACTTATTTTATTGTGATATTCAGTTAAGGAATCTTGAAATGTGACGTGCATTTCAAAACGTGCTTTGAATAAAATTCCATCAAGTTAAAAAATAAAACAAAAACATATACAAAACGTATTCCAGTATATTCTATATATATATACATATACGTTATAAAAATGAAATCTAAAATAATTCAAATTGTAATTATTAAAAATTTTAACGAGAAAGTAATGATGATTCTTTTTTTTTTTTTGAATAAAATTACAATTATGTGATACAATAAAAAAACTAAATATGAATCAAAGTTTATTTTCTTGTAACGTCTTTCAACTGAAATAAAATCTTTTATTTGATTCTGTCGTTAACATAACTCACGTATTCAATTATTCTGACGTATCTGCAAATAATGTTACATTTATCCGATTGTCTGTAACTAAATGCGTTTGTATCAAAAGAGTACTTTCAAATTTTTTAGCATTGATGCATTTCAAAATATCAGGTACGTAACCAGAATTTTTTTTTTCTATTTGCAAAAAATTTTTTTAAAAAACTGACGAACAAATAATAATTATAATTAATTTATAAGAATTTTTATTTCATAAAATTTCATTACACAAAATTTTCGAAAAATATTCAATTTGTTCGAATTTTAATTTAACAAAATAGAAATAAAGTTTTTCAAAAATTTATTTTGATGCAAATAATAAAAGTGAATAATATAATTAAATAGCTAATTGTATAATTATATACTTTATAATTATTTTATAAACATTTTTATTTTTACTGAACTGTTTTTAAATATTATAAAAAATTTCGGTTTTATAAAAAAAAATATTTTTATATTTATTTTTTTAAATAATAATTTGCAATATATTTTATACTTAATAAAAAATAAAAACTCTTGGTTTTTTCGATTTTATATATAATAAAATATTAATTAGTAGTAAAATGTTATCATCCCAAAGTTACGCCAACTTTGGTGCCAATACTGGGTCATTACTGCGCCAGTACTGAGCCATTAGTAAATTTTTTGATTGGGTATACATTAAAGAAAAAAAAAAATTGTAATATATTTGCAAAAGTTTTTTGGTTTAATGTTCTGCTTTAAAAAAAAGGAGTGTTTCTTATATAATAATCCTTCGACTTTGTGTTTTCAAACAAAATGCATATCTCTTTTAAGTCTCATTAAACTAAGAAGACACAAATTAAATGTTCACCAATTGGGAGAGAGATGCTGCATATAGTGCAAATAAAGTCTCCGCCTCGTAAATAAGCAGATTTACCTGCAATTTTATAGCCTTTAATTAAACTGCATCTTATTTAAACTAATAATTTGGTTTGAGAAAATTACCACTGTATAAATTTTAATTTATTCTTTATAAAAATATCCTCGCAAATTTATAAAAAAATGTTTTAAAACAAAATTTTTAAAAATGTTTTTTTTTTTGAATTTTTAAACTATTTTTTTTATTAATTTGTTCACTATTATTGAAATCAATAGAAATTTTCAATAATTTTTAGTAAAATATTACTATTTATTTTTTTTTACTAAAGTTTAAGTAAACTAAATGTTGATATTTATTACTATTAAATATAAATAATATTTAAATATTACTATTTGTTTTAGAAATATATATTTTTTTTGACTAAATTTTTTAGTGAAAAAGACTAAAAGTAAAAATTTTCACTTTTAGAATTTTGTTTTCTAAAAAAAAAAAAAATTCTAGTCTTTAAAGAAGAACTAGAGAAAATCGTTCAAGTAAAAAAAATTAACATTGAAATGAGAAAATTAGCGACTTTTATATAACATGTAATGGAGATTATTTTTTTTTTTTCTAAAATTAAATTGTTAGTTGATTTTTCAAAAGTTTTTGCGTCAGTTGTCAAGTTTTAATGTTCCATCACACTTTTGTCCCTTACATATATATATATGTATTATTAAAGGATATTTAACAAAGTTACTTAAAAGTTATGTGTTAATTCAACTAGTGTGTAAATTCAAAGAACTTGCGGAGAAATTGTAAGAGAAAATTTAATATAATATTATAAACTTTATCACAAAAAGGTAAAGGAATAATTGTAACCGTTTTCAAAATATTTGTATATATTATAATTTATAAAATGTATAAAAAATTTTTTAAAAAAATTTTTAATATATTAAATAATTGGTTAATTAAAAAAAAAAAATGCTTTCAAATTTCTTCAGAGATAAGTAAAAATAGTTTATAAAAATTTTAAAAAGTAAAGAAATTTTTTTTAATACAAAATACAATTTATAAAAAATATAATCAAGGAGAAAAATTTTTTTTTAAAATTATTTATTAAAAAATCATTATTATAGACCTAGAGAATTATCAACAGTTGCTTATAACTGTCGATAAGAAAGAGAACGTATGATGGTGAATTTATCAAAGAAAAAAAATTTAATTTTTCAACTGTAGCTATCTTGAATGAAGATAAAAAATGTTTTATCAATTATAGATAAAAAATAAGACCACTTTGATATTTTAAATAGAAAAATTATTTAACAAATAAATTTTTTAAAATCGAATTTTGTCGTTGAAAAAAACATATATTTTTTTCTCAAAAGTATTGAGAAATTGTATTGTTTAATAAAATCATTCTTAATTAGAGTTGATAATTGAATTTGAAAAGAAGAACAAATTAAAAAAAAAATAGAATTGAAGAAATTTCATTTTTCTTATCTAATTCTTGCAAAGTCATCATATTCATTAACAGCATTTGAACCTTCGTGACGTCACAAATCATAACGCATGACACGCAAACTTCCCAGGTATGTGAAAAGCACAATTTTGAATATTTTTTAAAAAAACCTTTTGGAAAATGTTCAGAATAACATAGACTCTGTCTGTTATGTGCGGAAAATTCAAAATTTTGCGTTTAAAACGTTTTTTAAACAATGTTTAAGTTGGTTGTTACAAGTAAGGAAAAATACACGAATTCCTTATA